TAAAAACAAAACCATCCTCAGCTTTTTTTAAGAGTTAGTATCTTTTCTTTAATATATATTTTTCCTTTTTTTCGATGTTTAGGGTCGTATAACTCATGAACTTGTTGCTATTGGTGCACAATGTAAAGGTGAACGACATGAACAAACAATTGGACGACAACGTGAAGCATTAAATGAATTACGTGCAAGAATTAAATCATTAGAACAATCACGACCAGTTAATCCATCATATGAAAAAGTTTTACAACAAGTTGTTTTACTTAAACGTGAATTAGCTGAATTACGTGCACGACAAGCTTTACCAACTGATATACCTTATTTAACAACAACACCAGGATCAAATTCTTTTAATCAACCATCAATAACTTCATTTCATCAATCACCATCAGGAACAAATACATCAGCTATAACACCTGAAGCACAAAAAATTATTGAAGAACGTACTGCTCATGCTGAAACTATGAATGCATTACAATCGTGTGATGAATTAGTAAGTTATTTTGTTACAGAAAAAAAAAATGAGAAAGAATTCATGGATAATAATTCGAATAGATCAACTCACTTTATACTAGAATTTTGGAATAGAATTTTTAAAATAAAGAACAGATCTTATATTTTTTGTATTAAGTTATGTTTAATTTTAATTGGAGTCTAGTTGCATCTAAGAAGTTGTAGAATTCATCAGTGTATACGAGTGAAATCTAGTTTGTCTTGGCAAGCTTCGACGAAAAAAAAAAGAAAGAATCTTTAAGGTTATTTGAATAGTATTTTTGTTATCGATGTTAATTTGTCTTCGAATTTAACCAAATTCATAGATGAATATATAATGTTATTAAGTTTTATTGAGTTATGTTCCAAACAAAAACAAGGAAGTACTTTTTAGTTTAATTATATTTTTTCTGTGATAAAATAACAAATGTCTTCTTTCAGAATTTGACACTAAAATAAAAATAAATATGTTGATTTGCTTGTTTATAAAAATATTTTTCGAACTTATATCAATGTAGAAAAAGTCATTCATGCATACATTAGAATATGAATAAGTGAAAATTAATATTCTGTCTATGCCTTAAAACTAACAAATATGTGTTATATTCTCTTAATAGAAATGAAAATTAGAATTTATTTTTAAATAAAAGAAAATTATTTCGTAGAAACGAAATCTTCCTATGTTTATTTTTATCAAAAACACAATTTTGTCTGTGACATATACAGAAATAGACTACTCCATCTCAGATTAAAAAACTAGTAATTTCTGATGCTCATAGATAGTTATATTAAAACATTTCACAACAGATTTAATCAAGATCATAGTCGAAATCAAGTGATACGTAGTTCTAATCAGGGGTGGCGCGAGTCAACCAACATTGGGGGGGTGTAGCGAAATTTTTTGGACTAGAAAGACGAAGTATGCAATTTTTCGGGGGGTGTAACATTGTTTTTTGTGACAAATGGAAGAAAATTTCCTGATTTTGTTGAGCAAAAAAACAGACATTTTTGAAGATTGGGGGGGTGTCGCACCCCCGACTACCCCCCGGTCGCGCCACCCCTGGTTCTAATAATCCGATCTGACTCCATTAAAGTTTTCACCTATTTCATTTAGTCACTATTTATTTTATTGTGTGCACATTAAAGGTTGTGAACAGTCTTGAGATATTGTAATAATTGCGCAGAAAGATTCTAGACTGAGTCTTTTATTTTCTCCTGCATATACTTTTGCACATATGTTCATGAGCATCTACAAATAAAACTTAATTATCTTGTTTCTCAATAAAAAAAAATATTCTTGATAAAAGTCGTTTACAATAATTTTTCATTACATCATCAAAACATCTCTGAAAATCGTAAATCATATTGACGCTTATGTATATCATCAAAAGATCGATGTTAAAACTATTGTTAATGAATCTTTAAGAATTAAAAATAAAATACTTATGAATATCTGTAAGATAATCAATAGTTATCTGTCGATGTTCATAGTGATCATAACTAAGAGTTATGGAGGGTAGGAAGAATGTGGAGTAGAGCTTACAGATCAACTATATTATCCTAATGTACTCTCTGACTTAAAGTAGAGCTAGAACGAGAAAAATGTAGGACATAGTAGGGTAGGAATAAGACAATTTTTCGTCGACAGTACGCAGAACACAAAAAAAGTTTATTCTATACATTTCTACCATGACTGATCCATTGAGAATTGTTAAAATTTCGATGCTAACAAAATGTGTGTTTAGCATCTCAAGACCATCATCTATAATAAGAATTTTCCTTTTCTAAAACAAGTTGAACATATTTGTTTTGTTTTAGCATAACACATTTACAAGAAAATTAATTCAATTACTTGATATTGATGATGATACTCTCTTAAATGTATCTCCTTTGGCTACAATGCCATCAACTGATCGTTATGTTGCTTTACAACAACGACAACGTGTTATTGAAATGTTATTACAGAAAATTGAGGTTAGATTTCTTATCTAATAATAAATATAATAATAAATAGGTTCTTTTTTTTTTCAATTCTAGATGTTACGTGAACGTTTAACACGAAAAGAAGAATTATTACGTGGTTATGAAAATGATTTAGGCAAATTACGACAAGCAGAAATTTTATTACGTGAAAAAGATTTTCGTTTACACGATCTTGAAGTAATTTTGTTTTTTCAATATTCTATTTGTAATCTAAAAATAAAAATTTTGTTTTTTCTTTCTAGACTGATAAACGATCAAAAGATGATGAAGCATTATTTCTTCGAAATACTCTAAAAGAAACACAAGATTATTTAAATCAAGAAAAACGATTCAATTCATCAATTAAACTTGGTCGAGTATGTAATAATCTTTATTTATTTTTTTTCTCTTTATTATAATATTTTATTCAATTAAGAATACTGATCAACCACAAACGAATGAATTAGTTCGACGAAGTGGTACATCAACAACAGGCACAACACATCAACATCGTAATTCAACAGATTCAACAGCAAAAGTTCGAACAATAAAACGAGATACGAATCAAAAAATATCTCGAAAAGATTATGAAATTAAAACATTAAAACAAGTTTGTTTAAATAATAAAAAAAAAAAAAAAAAAAAAAACTATCTATTCTATCTTTTTAGGAATTACATGAAGCTTTAGATACACTATCTGAACAGTCAAATAAAGTTAAATTACTCGAATTAAAATCGAAAGTAAAAAAACAAAAGAAAAAAAGAATTTTCATTTTAATATACAAAAATTTCTTGTCAATTTTTTTATTTAAGGATTTATCCGATGGCACAAATTTCATGGCATCACATGACTCGTGATATTCATTCACCTTTCTATTTTTTTTTCTATTTGCGTGTGCGCGTCTTGTAGAAGCAATAAATAAACAGCACAAAAAAAAAAGTATTCGAGTAAACATCTTTTATACTCGTTTAATAAATCATCATTATTAATTTTAAATTGAAGTTTTTGGATCATATTATTTTAAGTCTCCTCTCAAAAATTGATCTTACAACATGTATATTTAAATTACATGAAATTTTTAGACTATGTTGAGACTGTAGTGGAGAATCTATGCTAAAATTATCAATCGTATATCATGATGTTTTCGAAAGATATTTGTCAAACAAGGATCTGCATTCTATTTGTTTAATTTCTTTTATATTTAAAAGAACATTGTCCGATTGTAGTGTCTATCAGTACCCTTTTTTTTTAAAGTTTCTATCTTTTATGCATAGAAAAAGGATGACAAGTTCACATGCTCGTTCAAATAAAAGAAAAGCAATTGACTACATTGAAGCTTCTTTGTAAATTCTGACATGTGCGATCAGAAAACCATAAGCAGAAAAGAAAACGAAAAGGATTTGCTGGTTTTTTTTCTCAAACAAAAGAGCATATTTCTCAAAGCGGAAGATGACGAAAATTTTTTGCAGAACAGACTGTACTAAATAAAAAAAACCTTCTTGTTTGTGAAAGATTCGACATCAAGTTACTCTTCCATGCATTTATCTTCATTTTGATCAATCTGACGGAAAGGAACTTTTTTGAGAAGGATGGAGGCCTAATTGAATGGGTGGACACTAATTTATACATCTAACTGCATCGTGCTCTAGGTAATTCCATCGTATAAGTCTGTTGTATTTATTGAAAGGACGGTATCGTCGATATGTAAAAAGCAACAATGACAAAAGTTTTCATGTCTATCAGCATATTTTCAGCTGATGATTGGAAATAAATCTCAAATAAAAAATATTGACTTTTTACAAACTCGTATTCGAATATGAAAATGATTAAGTCTTATAATGAGTTTTGAACTGGGTTTTTTTTTTATTTAGATAAAGCTAAAGATGCACACACACAAAAGAAGAGAAATAGAATAAAAATGTTAGTGAATATATATGAATTTATATACAAAAACAAAAACACAAAAATAAACTAAATCAATGCTATCAGTCACATTTGTTCATCTAAAATTAAAGCAAAAAAAGAAACTATATTTCAATTCATTGAATTTATTCAAATAATACAAAATTCTCTTAATTAAAAGTTCTTCATCAAATTCAATATAATAATCACAGATTGTCTGTAAGTGAAGCATACATTTGTTTGTTTTCCATTTTGAACTTCTCTAAGAATTACATTTTTAAAAACTTCATCATCACGAAATATTTACTCATGTCAATTATAGTTTAAACTTGAACGGTAAAGTAAGTAGAATAATCGATCTACACATATATATTTTATTCATACTCGTGGCAAATTCTCAATTAAATTATACTGACAGTTCAATTGCTATCCTCAAATCTCAAATAATCGAACAAAACTGATGATAAGCTACATGAAATGATAAGACCAATGAGATAAATGATGCATAAATCGGACCTATAAATTAAACTGTCGATCAATCGATGAATCATTAATACTTGTACCATCTCTACTTCAATATTTGAGAATAACGTAAACCTTTTATCTTTATAATGCACTTAATTAATATACATAAATCTTACCATGATTACTTTCCACGTTTATGATTATATTTTAATGGTAATTTTCTATCATGACGTTTGATAGTTTCTAAAATTAATTTTGTTGCATGTTCAATTTCTGATTTTGTACCTCGAATAGACATTGGTCGTCTTGTACTTTTTCCTTCAGCTTCATAAATAACAATCCAAGCATTTGATTCACTTCGAATTTGATGTAAACGTGATGAATTTGGTCCAAATAAAGCTCCAGCTTGTGCATCAGTTAAAGTCCAACGTCTTTCACGTAATGGTTCAATTTTTTCTGTTTGATAATTATTTATATCATTATCAAAATCTTCAACATCTTCATCTTGATATCCACCTAATTCTTCTTCATCATTTGTATTATTAACAATTGTAGATGTAACCATTGATCGTTGCATAGCTAATTGAAGTTGTCGATCAGTAAAACCACCATAATCATCGGCTAATGAAACATCATAAAATTCAGGTGAATAAAGAAATGTTGCTTGTTGTGTTGAATCTATAAATGAAGTTTGACACATATTATGATAAATTTCTGTTAAACATTCAATAATTTGTTCATATTTTGATCCAGATAATAAAAGTATACGTTCAGTTGATAATGGTGCACATGTTGGATAAACCTAATAAATAAACATACAATGACTTATTATTAAAATTTAAAATTTTCTTATTACTTTTAAATTATTTAATGCATATTTATCTTTAAGCATTTTTGCTCGACTACCTAATTGTCCTATAATAAAAGGTGCATAAGATTCATGAATTAATATACGTAATTCATTTGTTTTTGATAAAATTTTTTGAATAACTAAACTTAATTGTTGAACATTATTTGTAATAAGTATAGCTTCTGGTGATAATGGATGTGTTAATAAAGTATAAAGAGTATTATTAATTGAATCAGGTAATTGATTAGTATGTTCGCGTTTTAATAAAATTCGACATGGCATAGTTGGTGATATATTTGAATGAATAAGATATGGTCGATCATTTAATTTAACTTGTTGACAATTAACATGAAAAAATAAATTTGATATAGAATCAATTTCATTTTCAATCCATGATAATCGAGAAGAAATATTTATTATTTCGGATGATGTCATAGGTACTAAAACAAAACAAAAAGAAAAAGAAAATGATATAAAATTATTTCGATAATTTTCTTCTAAACCTGTTGTATCTATTAATCGTTCATCATCAAGTAAAACATGAAGTGTTTGTCGAAATGTATCTAATCGTTCATAGGATGTATCTAATTCAATTAATGTATTTAAATACATATCTTGAATACGTTCAATCATTTCAAAATGCCATTTATTTAAATCATTTTTTAATTGAATATATTGATCATCAAATGGACGAGAAATTGAATTTAAAGTTGTACGAAGTTCAATTGTTCGATCTTTCATTATAAATTTATTTAAATAAATCAAGTAGAAAAAAAAAAACAAAATATCTTTGTGTTTTAATCTTCAATGAAAATAATTGTCAAATAGAATTTAATATATAAATTCGATGGATTTAAAATAACATGAAATGAATGAAGATATAAAAAGAAAAAGAATAAAAACAATGTGATAAATTTATCTATTGGAAAGAGAGAAGAAAACAAAGAACATCATAAGACGAACGAAATAATTTACGCATGACAATATGACCTATATTTGTTAGATGTTTTTATTTATTTAACTGATATAAACAAGAGATTATGAATGAAACCAATAGTGATTAACACAGAGTCACAATAGATTCTTTTGTTTAATAATAAAGAAAATCATGTCTTATATTAGTATTTGATTATTTTAAAATAAATAGAACAGCAATTGTTTTCATAGAAATTCTATCTAAGTTTTAAGTATCTTCTCGTTTCATTAACAGAATTTTTTTCTAAACTATTTCAGAATTTTACTGAAGAAATCTTGCATTGGACAAAAAGAAATAAACTAAACAATAATAGCATTATGTGATATTTTTAACAAGAATGTTACCATCAGTAGAAAGGCTAGGACAACACTTTCAATTAGCGGGTATGGATGTAAGTGTAGGTATTGAGTTTCTCTACTTCCACACCAGCATGGATTAGAGGATAACACCACCTATCTAATGCAAATATTGTCACTTCCAACCCAAACTTATATATATTGATGATGAATTAAAGAAAGATTATGTGTTCAACACGTCTACAATGAATATATGAATAAGATTTCATGAATTTTTAATTTACTAGAACGATATGAAAAAAACGTTGTTTGCCATTAGATAAATATTTTAATAAAGCTAGGAAAACAATTAATGGAAAATTATTTTAATATTTTGATGCCACCATCTTATGAACTATTAAATTATACCTACATTTCTATGATTATAATAACTTTCTCGAATGTAAAGTTGTATTTGTTTTCTTTTTTCATAAAATACTGCTGAATAAAAAATATCGATGAAATGGAATCATATCGAAGTTTTATTTCTTGTGATGATTAATTGGCATTGTATTTTCTAAGGAAAAAGTACTTTTGATCACCTGGTTTTTTTTTGTCAAGTAGTGATTTTTCATTATCCGTTCTTAAGGCCCTTCCCCCCCCCTCAAAAAAAGTCAATTTTCGTCAAATTTTTCGAAATTGAGATAATCGCATGGGAAGATAGCCCGTCCTCAGATCTTTCAGATGTGATATGTATTTTTATCCAACACGCCTTTTTTGCCCGAAAATTATGATGGTTTCTGTGACCGGGTGCATGAAAAATATGATTTTTTTTTGAAAAAACGGATTTTGAATTTTTTACATGGAGAATAAGTACTTTAATTAATGAAAACCAAAGACGTTTTAACAAGTTTTATTAATCGTTATAGAAAAATCAAAATTCAAAAAACAAAAAATAAGAAATAGACTAACTGATAGAAAAAAAGCTTTATTTAAAAAAAACTTTGATCTGACAAAGTTCCATAAAAAATTGTTTAATAAACTGTTACTTATTCTTCTTCTTTCCACCTTCTTCTGTCTTTTGGATTATAATAACCATATTCGTCATCACTATACCCATGCAGTCAAAAATGTGAAATTAATGCGTGGCAACAATTCGTCTTTTTCTTTCTTTTGATGCGTTTCAAACCATCAAAAATGTCCGGAATTTGGCGTTTTAACGGTGACGTTTTTCTTATGCTTCAACCTCGTTATGACTATTTATGGAAAAACAGTTCTTCGCGTTTGCAATATAAACGCATTAAAACTCGTAATTTCGAACATTTTTAACTGTGTGCGTTCCATTTGTTTAGAGGGCATTTTAATGCGTTTTATATATGTCCAGTTCTCCGCATCGATAGAAATAACGGATCAAAACTCCAAATTTCGGACATTTTTGATGATGTATTATACCTACCAATCTATAACTAATGCTTTCGACTCGGTGGTATGTGCACTGACCAGGATTTCCTGGCAGTGTCAGTCAATCCTTGCTATACGGGACACGATTTTGTCACACTCTCACTTAGCCTGTAAAAAGTAGTAAATTCGTAAACTCGAAATAATGTCCATCGATTCCAAGCATTCTTTTCGACCTACACTTAGGTGAGAAGAATCGCAAAAACATTACGGATTTTAAACATTCCCTAAAATGCATTTATATATCTTCAATTATATGACAATTGAACGAGGAGAGATAAAGACGTATACAAGTTTTCCACAGAGACAGAATGAAATTTAAAAATGTCGTACCCATTGTTGCTAGATACCTTCTGTTAAAACATGTTTCTTTTTGTTCTATATCGTTTATATAGCAAGGTTGTTTGTCAGTGGCTGGTGCACGTTTGACCAATCGATTACGTATCAAAGCATTTGCATGTATGTTGCGACAAGAGGTCGGATGGTTTGACGAAGCTGAAAATAATGTCGGTTCGTTGTGTTCACGTCTTTCTACAGATGCACTTGAAATTCAAAAAGTACTTATGCAAATATGGTCTTGAATTTCTACTGTTATACATAAAAAGTTTTCATCGAAACTTATGCTCATATGAGCAGATTGTGTTTTATTTTAAACTCTGATTCATTTTTTTTTACTATCAAATAATGGACTAAGAAAAACAATGTTATTTCAACTGAGCGAATGCTTTCCTTTCTAGTTTTGTAATCGAGACTTAAGAGTGGCGTGTAGCTTCAATCCTTACTAGGTGATATTTTACATGAAAATCATTCATCAGTCACTACAAATCAATATGTTTTTCTATTTTAATTACATAAAACAATACCTATTGGCATCATCTTTCGTCATGAATTTGTTGTCAATCTGCTTACATCATTCGGAGTTCATAATTATGAAATGAGCATATTTAGAAAAGTGTCAGCTATTTTTTAATGCATGAAAGACTCAAAACAAGGTTTCAATCAGCCAATACTAAACGCTCACTTCTAGTTTTCATGTTTCTTGAAATAAATATTTCTGAAAAACAAAGCATTCAGCGCAAACTCTATAGGATTGAAATGTGAAAAACGATGAAATCACTTTAGCCATTATAGGGAGTCCTCGTTATGTCTATCGAAGTAGATAAGCAGATCAAGACCACCGCATGGAAAACTCCTTACCAACTTGTTGAAATGTCTGTAGTGTTTGGGGGGGAGGAGGGGAGAAACAACTTTCTTGTTGTGGTGTGGGTGTGGGTGTAGGCAACAAAAAGTCTCCACACCCACACCCTGCTATCACGCTGCTATAAGTAAAAAAAACCAGTAAATCGATCATAACTCCGCCCCAAAGCAATACGGGGATGAACTAACTTAAGGTATTTCAATTTTCGCTAAGCTCTACCAGATAAAATCAGTCTGAGTCAAAAAGCTTTTTATCACCTCAAGAGGTTTCCTCGTGAGCTAAGAGCATTGCAAATCTAAAAACTTTCAGAGTGACTCACGTATCATGGTTACCTAATATGATCGCCAATCAGGCTAGTTTTCGTATGATTCGATAGAATTTTTCAAGTGCTACAAAATGGTATAAAAATATCAGTGAAAAAATACTGGTGACTTAGAAAAGTTCAACGAATACTGGTTCCAATACGTGACTTTTGGTATATATTTGGTAGTTTTTGGTTACAAAAACTAGGATTTGGATAAAAACGAATACGATATTCTGAATCAGCATCCAAAACTGGCTGAATTTGTGTCATTTTAAAATTCTTTCTTCAACTTTTTTGTTCGTCGAAAAATCACCCCTTGTTCCCCTCAGGAATAGGTTAAAAAATGAATTTCGTTAAACCGGTATTTTGTTTGTATGAGTATCTACTACTCTAAGTTCTAATATCATTTTCCAAGCTTAGAACGTATTTCGGACAGTTGAAATAACTTTATCATGGATCTCTCGGAGTTATTTCTCTGTAATACTGATAAAATGTATTCCGTAATTATATTTTCGAATATTACGACTAATTGTCATAGTGCCTAAGTATCGCTACGACCAATTGACGTCGCCCAATTGTCGTTCAACTAATTGTCTTTCCATCAATTCTCTTAGATCCAACACATATCCATACGATTATTTTAGTAGTTGTTTTTGACGAAAACTTAGTTTTCATAGTAGATTTTCTCTTCATAGACACATTCATATTATTCACACTATACTTGATTTTCTAAGACAAAAGAAAAACAATTTCGAATTTCAACTATAGATATTTATTTATATAATATCAGAACAGAATTAAATTGACAATAAAGGAAAATAATTATAAACATCTTTCGAAAAAACTATTGAATATTCAACAATTAATCGTTTGACTCGAGAACAATTATGTCGCATTTCATCATTTGTAAAATTTTCTGTCACGTTTTGCAAATGATCATAATCGACTTTCAATTCGGTTAAACGAGGTAAATATGTTTTTGTTTCATCGAGAAAATGTTCAAGATAATGAGCAGCTGTATCCCCAAAATCAAGTGAAATAAGATGCGAATATTCAACAATTGAGCACCAATCCTTCTCGTAAAGATGAAATTCACGAAGTTTGAAAAATGGTGGTTGAATATTCCACATAGATAAATATTTAAGAAATGGAAAAGCTCGAGTAAGTCGAACGAAAAAATCATGTTTGAAAGGATCTTTGTCCCATAATTTCAAATGAGTAACGGAGTTAAATACAATATTTGGAATATTATTTGTGATGTTTTCGAGACGATCAAATTTAAATGGAAGTGAAAAGACGCGAGAAGTTATATCCCTAGAGTTGAAATAATCTACCATACAAGCCACTTTTCGATATTTTATATTTGTGAAAGTTCGTTGAATATCATCAACAGATACATGAACAGTTGGATCAGCATCGACATTTTGAGAAACGATATAAAATGTGAAGGTATGAAGTCGTGGCATATGAATAAGTATTTCATTATCAAGATGAGTACCAGAGATACATGTTGATCCACGAAAGATAAGAATATATAAAGTTAATTCTTCGAGATGGGACATTCGACGAAGAAGAGGTACAACTAGAATATCATATCCTTCAGTGTTACGATAACATGTTAATGAGAAACATTTTAAATTAGGTAGATCATCCTAAAAAATAGAAAGAAATATGTTTATTAGTTGAGCTAACAAATTAACATCAACCATTAATTTATAGAAATATGATTTATTTTCGAAATTCTACTTTTAAGTGTTTATTCTATTCTATAAAATATATGTATCCTCTAATAATAATGATTACTTTCTATTTATTAAATCCTGACTCATAGAAACTATTGAATAATTCGACAAAATCATCAAATCTTAAATGAAAATAAATTTTCTTAATATATTTCAAAACATTCGATGAAATTCATAATATATAGATTTAACAAAAATAATTATTAATAAAGAAAATCAGTAGTTATTTTCAATAACAATGCTCATTTGAACAGTATAAGTGAAGTGAAGCTTTAAAAAGACTCGATTAATAAAAATGTTTATTTTGTAACCGACTGTATGTTTAATTAGTTTTAAAATAGATGAATAAATCCAACATAATTGATAAATATTTTCTATCGAGCCATTTAACCCTTTACTTCCCAATGTCCATCCCAGTGGACATTGGAAGAACAGTTGCGAAAGATTAAGAAAGCATCTGATTGAGAAACTCTAAGAACACTTTTTATAGTAAACTTCGTGGGCTACCAATCGGTAAAAAAACTTTTTTTTCGCTGCGCCCGTTCGGAGATATGTGACTCCTATAATCGACTATTTCGAAAAAAGACGATTGTCTTGTAAAAGTTATCTTCTATTTCTAAGCAATAAATCTTCCGGCGATCTACTACGTGACACACATAGAAAAAGGTGTTCACTAGTGATATGTTTAGTTTCCAGAATTTTCAGAAAAGTTTAGGAGGTCAACATATGGTAAAATATACAATAGTCACTAGAAGATTTCTATAATAGTAACGTCCTGCCTCTTAAATATCCACAATTCAATGCAACAATTGTCTCAATCATAGAGAATTAAAAAGCAAACATTTTTCTATGAAATGAAACGTTCCCGAGCTCTCTACGACGTTTCTTTACTGAGATATATCAATTTTGCTGAATGCTCCAGAGGATTGGTCAAAATTTTCCCACTACTCCCCCTCAGGAAACTACCCTAAAATTGAGGAAAGCATTTCTTTGGTTTGTTCATACTTTTGGCATATGGGAGGCACTGATACTTTATTTCAGGGGTAATTTCATTGCTAGTGCTTCTGGAATTACTGTGGGGGTAAAGGGTTAACAATTGTAATGATTGATTAACTATTGTCAAATGAATTATGATTAATTATAAAATAATCTCGAATAATATCAAAACAATCATGATTATCTATTTTATTTATTTTCTAATAATCTAAATTAAACTATTATATTTACTAATGCACAAATCTCTTTATACATTGCACTTTTAATTAAACTTTATTTTCGATATTAAAGACTAATTAGAAAAAGATAATAACACGAACCATAAACTCACCATGCTGTAAAATGTTGATGTCCAATTGCTGATATAATCAACTTGAACGATAAATTCAGTTAATTGTTTGAGACGACCATCAAGTAAAGAAAGACAATCATCAAAATCATTTACATTAATAGATAATTTAGTAAGTGTTGAAGAAGAAAAAGTCATTGATGGTAAATAACATAACGACGAAAGTGGATAATCCTCGACAGATGATGACGCAATACTGAGATGTTTTAGATTTTTAAAGAAAGCTAAGATATTTGCATAAACATTCTTAGTATACTCCTTTTGTGTTATTTCAATATTGTTTTCATTAATGATAAGAATAAGATCCGTAATTTGTTGTTTATCAATATGTTGAAAAAGAGAATCATCTAAATGAAATAGATATTATTTGATAATCTGAGTATCTGAATATTTTTCTATGCTAATCTTTTAAAAGATCAGTATACATGAATATCTTACCCATGAAATAATGTGAAAAGATTGATTTGTTGAAATTAAAAATTTTAAGTTGAGTAAGATTAGGATAATTACCAGCACGAAGAATACATTCCATAGAATCAGATTGAAGAATAAGAGATTGAACATTTTTATGAATTCTTGGTAATATATCAATAGAAAATCGACTGAGTATTGAATTAGAAATTGAAAAAATCTCATCAGTTGATTGTGATATAGAAACAAAATTAAGAATGTTAGTGAAGATTGGTTCTTGTACTATAATATTAAGTCGTTGATTGTTGATACCAAATAAAGAATAAAGAACATCAGTATTGTCAAGGTTTTTCAAAATGAGAAATAATATTTCATTAGGAAGATCAAGAAGATGAACATTATGTTGATTCATTTTAAAATGTACTGCTTGTAATGCTTTTCATAACACAGTATATATATAAAGATATCTATTTATTTTTTGTTCGTACACATTCTTATCATCGAAGAAAAAAGAAGTTGACCTTGTTGAAAGAAAAAATATAACATTGATATATAGGTCTGAAACACACTAGACGAATTAAAAATGAATTCACCAATGGAATGAGCGAAAAGGTTAAAACAGAGTTAAATCACCTTTTCGAGATGACTTAACTTTTAACGCACCAATACAATTATAGCTGTATTGAACGCGAGAGAACAACAAAAGAAGTGATGAATTGACAACTAGACGAAAATGATGCCACTCAAAAGTTCATTGTATTCTGCTTAATATTCTCACGTCGATTGATGATAGTTATGCTTGTTTATGTTATCTTATCATCATACTTGTATCGTATTTATTTGGTTGCTCACAGAATAATAAAATATAATAAGGAATAAAGAGGATCAGGATAACAAGACGAATGTTTCTTTTTTTGAGTTATTTATTTTTATGTGAATGTAGTCGCTGCAGCGTTTTCCATCATAGACAAATACAAAAAACAAAACATATATTTAGAAAAAGCGAAAACAAAAATATGATCAGAGGTTAGATATCGAATTCGATTGTTTAGTTTTAATTTTTTGTAAATCATAAAGCATTATGGTGCAATTGCCTTCTATCCCTGCAGAAACAAATTTATTTAAAAAAGTAGAAGTAGAAATCTCTTTGACTTAAGAAAAGTTTCATGATTATATAATATCACGTGTGCGTCAGAAATAATGGCACACTTCGTATTTTTCATTTTTTTCTTTTCATGTGAACGCATAGAATTGAGTTTTTCTCCAAAAGATTCTCTATTGAATTCTCTACAAAAGCAGCATATATCATTCAGCAAGTACGATCTTACTTATTTTTTAACAATCGATCTCAGTATTTTGGACAATCATCACGATTTCTTAAAATGATTGTTTTATCTAAAAAATTTTACAGCACTTTTCAACTGCCTATCATCTTGAATTTTGTTTCTAAATGTTCCCAAGTTCTATAAATATAATATTTGAAGTGAACCACTTTAATCAATATAATTATGATTGTTTTCGTCAATTTTCAGATTGCTTACTAAGAGTAACACAGCTTGTCTACGTAATGCGACTAGAGATGTACGGGATTGAGATCACGACAAAATTATAAAGGTTTACCGGGACCAAATGAAACTTTATCTTTTCGAGATCGTTTTTCCGGAATATGTTATAAACCACATCAATCGATTCGCCCAAATAACGTCGAAAGCAAAAATGTCGAAGCAAAAATGTGGAAGCTAAAAATGTCGAAAATAAAAACGTAGAAAGGTTAAAATGTAGAAAACACAAATATCGAAAAATACAAATGTCGAACTTCAGAAACATCGAAATGTAAAAAAGTCGAATACTAGAAATATAAACAAAAAAAATTCCAAAACAAATCTATTTTCATGATATTTTCAATGCTTGAAATCGGCAATGGATCACATATATACGAAAGCTCTATATAACTCAAGTGAAGATGACACCATTATTCAATTAATGCGACGTAGTATTCTTAACATTGTTGCTATTAGTTAATAAAATAATCCATTCATAGCTAAAACATAGATCTTCAAGTAAAAGACAAGTTTCCATGTTTTCATGAATGCGTTCTCTTCTGTTTTTTTTTATCATTATTTTTCATTGGGTAGAGAATAGATATAGATAAAGAAAAACACCTATTCATATAATTATGAATGTACTAGGTAAATGAACCTATTCTTGTTTATAAAAACAGAAAGTCTTTATATTTTTTACGATCTCCTAATCAATTTTTCAACGAATTCCATGTTCATATCATTCCATTAGTTCGGTCTTCTTCTGTAAAAAGTACTCTTAGACTTACATTCTGAACATCTGCCCTGGTTCATTACGATCCCCGAACGCTACATCGGATATAGCAAGAAGTATTCTATTCCAAACATTCGGTCACACCGTTCTGATTACAAAAAAAATCCGAGCAAGAACTTGAACCAATTCTGGATAGAATCCTGAATCAAACCTGACAGGCTCATTAAGACTTATGATTCTTAAAGATCCCTCGAGGTTGTCTCAAGAAATAGGCACGACTGAAGAAACTAAGCAGTGTCCTGTAAAGATCTTTGCTAAATCCTCATATTTTCTTAATAAGATTCTCATTAAAATTGATACTGTCTTGCAAAATGTGGAAACGCATATTCTTGAAAGGTTCTGAGTAAGATCCTGATTGAAACTCTGCAGGATTAGTCGGCTTCGTACTCTGACTAATCTTGTTATTTTCTTGCCGAGATCCTCGTCCAATGTGAATATCAATCCTGACAGAAAACTGATACGAACATTTGATCTAGATCCTGACGAAAACCTGATAAAATCTTGGCAGAATCCTCTCTCATAATCTTGAGAGGATCATTGATAGGATCCTGAGTAAATCCTGACAGGATCCTATAGTCTCAACTCAGAAAAATATCTGAGCAGGAACCTGAAGAAATCCTGGACAGGATCCTGTTTAGGGGTGGGACTTTACCTTCACTTTACTAGTAAATAGTAAATAAAATATTTACTATTCACTTTTATAAAATTAAATATAATATTTCTCATTTGATAATATAATTATACATCGTAGCTAACAGTTGGTTCAACAGGATTCAATAAAATGCTTGTCTCTCTCAAGATACCAATATCTATAGTTCGATCTGTCTGGTTCTTCCATGACCTATTATGTTTCTTAAAAACATGGGATGGACCGTTATTCGTGTGTGTTTTGGTTATGCGATCTCCATCGTTCTCGATCAGTGTACCTGGGATCTTCAACTATTACCAGGTCTATGCTTCTTTTTTTTTTACTAGTCGAGTTCTTTGTAATTGTCAGATTTCTTTCGCATTGGTTTCTTCTGTGTATGATCAAAATCGATTTTCTCAATTTCAGTAGAAAGTAAAAATGTCGAAAACTCGAATCATAGTGTTGGGGAAAAGAAGCAAATATCTGAAATAGTAGTTCATGATGCCAACAATCTACATCACCATCGTTGTCACTTTACATCCTCATTATCACCTTCAGTTTCAGCTTTTGACGTTTTTGATTTCTTGACATTTTCCTTTCGATAAACGTTCAGATTACTATCAAAGTCTTCTAATTGTTTCTTAGGTGGCCGATCTGAGCTACGCTTATTCTGAAAATTTTCGGTATTAACTTGGATTTCATAATCTTTATTTTATTATAAAGAAAATTACTATTAACAACGAGACAATAATTTCAATAATATAAAGCCAATAGAAGCAGAATACGAGAAAATAGTGATCATGTAATAGTCAGAGAAAAAAGGCAGAAAAACGACGATACAAGATCAGACACAGCAAAAAAAACATGGTGTGAGTTGTCGTTCAACAAAAATACATTGTGTTATCAATAGTAACAAATGAAACAGGATGACAAGAGTAAAGTAATAAATAAGACGAAATAGTACTGTGAATAATTAATAACAAGTTTAAGTGTTTCTACATGATACACACAACTTTTCATCCATATTGAGCACTCATTTTTCAGAAATCAAACAGATTAATGTATGATGAAAGCAATTAGTGAATGGGATGGGTGTATCTATAGAAAAACTACATTTCCATTTAAAAAACATTGTTTCCTAGGCTAATATCATAATATATAGATACATATATCAAATGAAAGATTACGTTGGGATAAGCATCTTTTGTGATAGAATTTATTATTTTTCAATGAATAAATATAAAGTTTGAACAAAGTTAGCTACAAAGTCTATAGGGTGTGGGTGTTTGTGGATGTCATTTCCCCGTTTATTCACACCCACACCCACACCCCTTCGGTGCTCTTTTCACATTTAAATAATTTGGTGCTCATTTGTCTTATTTTTTGGTGCTCTTTTCACATATAACTAATTAGGTGCTCAATTGTCTCTTTTTTTGGTGCTCAAAAGACATGTCGTCCATTAAAAGGTATTAAATGAAAAGAAGACGAACAAATCACATAATTCATAAAACATCAAAAAAAAGATCTAATACACTCTAATTTGAATTTTACAATGATAATTCTTACAATAAATTATTTAGAACAAGGTTACTTTTTGTTTTAGAGACACACTTCACAGTCTTATGCACCAGAGACTGTCATCAGGGCAGGGCTGCCCTGATGCCCTGGTAAATTATGTACCAACTCTCAAGTTATAGATGTTTTCTTAATCAAAATTTTTAATCTTTTGTACAGTTACATGAGACAACGTTATAAGCTACCTACGTTTACATTTCATTCACTATGTCTCTCAGCGACAATCTTTATGTTTCACTATTGGGTGCTCTTTGTTTACTATGAATAGAATAGAGATCAGAGATTGTTATCAATACAGGGTGCTCAGATGCCTTGGCGTTCTGACCTCAGGACAGAGCGAAATAATTTGCCTTGGTAACATTTTTTTAAAAAAGTCATTTGAAATGGTTTACTAAATCTAGACATAAATCTTTCAGAACATTTGTCATCTGGATAATTCTACTAACTAGTGATGATTTCATGTTGAAATCGATTTCACTAGAGCTTATGTATATGATACTCATTCTAATTCATCATCGTTCAATACGATCCTTTTCGATTTCGAAGAGATTGAACATCTCTTATCAAATCATAAGGAAGTGAAGGAAAACATTAAAAAAAAATGAATCTCGATCTGATGCTAAATAATGATGAAAGACTTCGAATCAATTAAATGATGATACTTAGTCACACAGAATCGCTGTTTTCATTGACGGATATCTCGTTTTTGTATGAATATACTTCTAGTGTCACGTATCCATGCTAAAAAAGGCAAGACATTGTATTAAGAAATATTATTTCTTCATGAAGAATAAATTGAAATGATATCATTTGTATCCGATTATAATCTGATTTTTAGTCGTCAAGGTTGATCCTTTTTATTGTCAAGCGTTTTCTTTTGAATTCCTTCTAATCGATCAAAAAGATTTGTCAATTGTTATTAATGAGTTTCACTCGAAAAAAAAAAAGATTTTGAAAAAATTCTGAAAATTAGAATAAACGAAATATAAATTTAAAATTAAATTGTAATTGATTAAAAATTGCACAAGTTTAATTGATTTTTGACGGGACTCATGATTATTTTTATACATGGATAATATTCTTTTGAACTTATATTAAAAAAAAAAGTCTGAGCACTGAATATAAACAAGAACAAAATTTTTCATAAGGTTAACAACCTATTCCATAGTCAACCTCAATTTATATGCCCTAAGGACGGGACAGGGCGAAAAAAATGTCCTGTGATGGTCTCTGTTATGCACTACTGTGGAATATATTAATAATACCAATCAGTACGAATGTTATATTTATAGGTGAAGTGAAACTCTTTTTACATTTCGGATTTAGAAGAAAACAAGATTTTTGTTCTGTCAACTAATCGGATCGATACTATACAAGCAATACAAACGATGATACATTGTCATGCCCTCCAATATTGATCCTATTATGAACATTCAACATAAAAAGAATGAAAAAAAAAGAAAGAGTCAGACAATGAACATACAGTAGCATTAAAGCTATAGGGTGCGAACATCGAAATGAATAATTTATGCGTTGACTGTTACTGACCGCACGTCTATACATACACTATATGTTCGCATACGTGTGTATATGAGTGTGTGTCGCTCGATTGGCCCTATAAGGGTCATTTCAACTCATTTTCTTTCTACCGAAGTATGCCATTGAATGAAGGCAGTTAAATTATTTTTAAGCTCTATCAAAATCGACTATTCTCAATAGTAGATATGCATTTTCACATCTGATATTAATACCATACATTTTGCAAAGACTTGTATCTAGTAAAACATTCAACCTTGGTATATATCTATATACAACAAAAATCTCATAGATAAAGGCATTAGTCTCGAGAGATAGTATTAATCTTTAAGATTTCCTTCTATAGAAGAAAAACAGTAATAATAATAATACTAGATAAACGTTTAAAATTTTATTCTTAAAACTCTTTTTTTGTTTTGAAAATGATACTCTTTACAGTTCATTCTTTTTCATTAACACTTCATGTTCGAGGTTAAAAGTTTAATAAACGCATCATAAATCACAATATTTCTTACATTGACAAGAATGTGTCTACTTTTCTTTCTTATTTTAAAACAAAGAGAAAGTGATTTTATTCAATCTATTGATTGTTCGACTTTTTCTTCTTTTTTTTCTTGTTTTATCGAACAAAGAAGACAAACACAAATGTCTGTTTTTTATATTCGATGTATTTATTCATTGTATTCATTAAAGCCATGAGTCAAGTTTGATTTTAATTGATTTTTTTTTTGAAGCAATAGTAATAAACAAAAAAAATCTTATTCTAATATTCTCATTGTTAATTATATCGTCTTAGTCAAGATCCAATCTTGTTTGTAAATATGATCTAATGAATATAAAACAAATGAATAATGATTAGTTGTTACGAAAGATACAATTGAAAATAAATCTTTTTTTTTTTTGATCAGTTTTACGTGCAAACAGCTGAAAAGCTAAGAATGATCGGAAATTATCTTCATTTACAAAATATAATATTGATCATTTCTAAAGAATATAGAACATTCGTAGATTGTCATCAATAGGAAAATGATGATAAATGGTCAATATTTTATCATAATTTTGATTCTCAAATTAAAAATAGATTTGTCCTATAAACTAGTTCGAACTTTGCCAAGAAATATACGGAATATTTTAACGATTATATATGAGATTTTTTTTTCGGACATCGGACATGATAATGTTTAGTCTTGAACGTCTTCAACCAAATCATCTAGGTCAAATAAAATATAAAATAAAAATCTAGATAAAGTTTAAAGGTACAATAATATTCTATTCTATGAGCTCATGAAAATATCTCTATTATTATCAAGTCGATTAAAAGTTTCTTTTCTTTCAATCAAAAAAATCCCTTTAAATGATCATTATATTTAATTGATGTATTCTAATCAAAACAATAAGATACAATAGAAAAGAATTAAGATAGTGATGCATTAATAAGATTTAGAATAAATAGAATAAGATATAGATCATAATGAGATTGAACAAAGAATAATTGATGTAAACATGTGTGAATATACTACTAGTATATATAATGGATTACATTTGAATAAATCTTTTGTCTAATCAGTGTTAGAGATTATCTCAAATGTGTTAATTTTTATCTTTTGTAGTGTTTTCTTTTTCTATGTTTACTAGGTAATCATTTTGATTATTAGTGATGAATTTGATTACTATCAATATTTGATAAAAAAGAAGTTGTAGAATTTTGTTGACAAAGATTAATTAAAGTTTTAACTTTCTTTAATAGTATCTTTTGATGATCGATGACTTAAGGGCCCCCCACCCCTCAAAAAAAAGGAATTTTCGACAAAAATAGCGATTTTTAGATTTATACATAGTTAGATAGCCCATTATCTCTACTTTCGAACGCACTATAATTTATTGGTTTTTCGATGGGTTTTGAGGGTTTTACAACGGTTTTTCTGAAGACCCCTGCATCAAAAAATTTTTTTTTCGAAAACTTCAGTTATTGAAATCAATAGAGAGTGAAGAAGGTGAAACTGAAGAGGATGATGCTTACGATCCAGGTGGTGATGACTGAGCATGAACCCGCGAATTTCGTTGTATGTTGTTTTATACAATAAACACAAGAATAAGTCATTAATTTTCTTTTGCCTACTCGGCAACAGAAAATTGAATGTTTTGTTTCGTAATATCTGATCCAAAACACTAGTTTCATTATACATATTAAATTCAAGTAATTTTATAGATTTTTTCAAAAACCAGTGGTTTTTGGTGGTTTTTCGTGAGACCAACGCTTACACGTAAAAAAAAACTACGTCTCACATATCTCTCCATGTGCTCATACGATTCGCCATAGTCGATAACCTATAATAAACTGCCTTCTTGTTTATTCACTACCATTTTTAAACGAAAAAATCGCGATAATCAAAGAAAAAATTGTTTTGTGTTTTTCTCGAAACTGTTTTTTTTCGTTTTCTTTGACTGTGTGTCAAAGATTTCTCCGCCATTTTAAATGTTAGAATGCTCGGGAAGGTTTTAAAATGAAGGTAAATATCAGTGCTACAACCTAACAAAGCCAGAATTTTTGTTTTCGATTTATTTGTTTACAAAAAACTCGAGTTTTCTAAAAAATTGATCTAGGTTTTTCGAAAAAACTGTCTAAAAAAATTAATTTTTTTCTTTTCAAAAATCCGGCTTTGTTAGGTTGTAGGGGCAGGTCTTCTCTACATTTTGACACCATCCTGAGGTCCGTATCACTAAAATTGAAAACAAAATCTTTGACACACAGACACCTACTTTTGACCCTTGATGTTACAATAACTCGCGAAAAACTCAATATTATGAGCTCAAATTTTTACTGAGAACTATCAATGGTCAGATACATATTCAATAAAAATTTCAGTAAGATTGAGTGTTCTGGGGAAAAAAAAATTTAGAGGGGTGGGGGGCCCTTAATGTAACAATAGAACATGAAAACGCTCTTAAGATCTATATCGAATAAAAATATCGATTATAATAAATAAAAACTTACATTTAAGGCATTAGAAAATCATATATATATATGGAAATGACTCTTGATCTTGTTCATAAAGTTTTCGATAGATTTTATTTACATTTTTTTTTGTTTATCAATTAATGATAACAATTGAACATCATTCTAAAATAGATTTTCTAACAAAATACAATAAGATTATTTGATGAAAAATATCAACGAGAAACTACGGATTATATATATTGTCCACCATTGTAGATGTCACGTGTAGACATTATTCTCTACTACAAGATAAATAAATATTACACAGTACGAAATTTAATAATTGTACCAATTATATCGATTAGTATTTCGAAAAACAATCACATGGTTTTTTTTTTTGGGAAGAAATAGGTATAGCATCGAATGTAATATGATTGGTGTATATAAGAAAGAATGAATAACATACAATAGTGTTTGTGGCTATCTTAACCTGTATTTTTTTTTGTTTTCTTTTTGCTATCGGACTAAAGTAGGTAATATATAATTCAGAGTGATTGAACTTTTTGTTTATTTGAATTTAGAATCACATTGACGATTATCTTTTAGTTTAATGAATAGTAAAACTTTCCAGTATCACACAATATCATTGGAAAATTATTTAAGTGATGGGGTCTTGACAGTTTTAAGCGACAAAACCAAAACTACGCTGAAGGATTTACATTCACGTTGCTTTAACTCCAACAATAGTAAAAATATTATTGATGAATTAGATCATTTTCTCAAGGCATTGGATGATGATATTAAATTTAGATTCATGAATATCGACAGAAATAAAATAAATGATGAAATTAATGATTTACGAGGTAGTTTACAATTGGGAATACATGAATGTAAAGACGCTATTACAAAAGATAATTCAAAAAGTAACATTCAAACATCATTTAATGTATTGCTGGCATTGATCGATAATGTATTTACCAAAATTTGTTTGATTTTTGAAAATATGAATGTAAGTGTAGCTTTCTGTTGAAGAATTTTCAGATTGTGCTTTTTTTTATACCGTTAGGAACGGATGACGGCTCTCACAAAGAAAGTCGTTGAAGTCGAGGAACAACTTACAATATATAAACAAGGAATGGATGTTTTAACACATCGACAAATGCAAAATGATAAAAGTCTACTTCTTCGTGAACTTTTCAATAAACCAAGAGATATTATCAAAGAATCAGTTCGAAAAGTTCACTTGCCGATGAATTACTTGGACAATATTTATGATAAGAATTTTGAACAAAATTTAGACAAACAAAATACGTTCTTATCGTATTCAATAAACCAAGTTGCTCAACAAATTGGTTTAACCTCTTCTGAGCTCGTCAAATATCTACAAGTAAAACAACAATCAAATGCAAATTTTCATTTAAACGACGAAATAAAGGAATTTTCAAAACGTCATATAACAGATGAAAATTATAATTTACTGAATCTTATTGCAGAACAGCAACTTCTTGTTAGTTTCAATGAAGTAGAACAAAAAAAATTACAAACAGTTTTTGAAAAAATTTGTCAAATATTAAACAAGTCCAGGTATACAGATTGTTCACTATTTTTTCAGTCAAACAGATATGAGATGGCTTTCTTTTTATTTTGAATTTCTCTGTAATTCAATTTGTTTTGTATTTTTTAGTTGTGAAGAACATCAACCTCGATTTAATCGAAATGATCATGTACAAGTGTTATATGATGATGGGCAGGTAATACCAGATTCTCTTTTCTCATTATCATTATCGTTTGTTTCTCTATTTAGTTATATTGGGCAACATTGAATTTATTTGATTCAAAAACAAATAAATGGAAGGTGGTTTATGATTGTCGAGAATATGGATCTGAATGGGTGATAGCTCGTCGTATATTCAAAAGATAATAGTTTTTTTTTATGTCAAAAACTGTTTCATCTTGGAAAAAAAAATTTTTATTTTGAAATAAAGCTTAAAAGAACAATTAAAAGATAATTGTCATTGTCTAATCTAGTACAATTCATGGCGAATTTGAATTTGCCAAAAAAATCAAATTTCTCATCATATGCTATAGATATCTTTTAATGATGAAAAGAAAAAAGAAGAGAATCTCGTTTTCTATTCCGACCAATCCTTTTTAATGAATTAATGAAAATAAAAGGAAAAGAAGAGTCATAAGAAAAGAAGAAAAATAATTTTCTTAATTTTCACAAAGTTTTCTTCGCATCCATTTATGTTCTATCTAACAATGTTAGTCAATGACTAATGAGAATAACAAGAAAAGGAAAGTCTTTTGTTAGTGATAGCTTTCTTTCTTTTTTTTTCAGAATATCAAGAAAAGTTTTTTCTCAACGGATGATACTAATATATGATACAACAACGTGTCTAACAAATTTACTTTATGATGAAGATTGATATTGAAATATGTGTAGATTTTTTTTTTGTTCCTAAGAAACCAATAATAAGATTAAATTGATATTCTAATGCGTGAACAAATCGTAAATGAAGATTAGAGAAAAAAGTTTTTTGTCTAATTATTTATAAGCTGTCGAATGCTCGTCCGATCTGAATTGACACCTCTTTTCTTTTCTTTTTTTTTTATCCTTGTCGAGGAAAATGATGTTCTTGTCAACAAGTTTATTTTCAATCGGAAAATACATTCAGTTTTGACAAAGCGAAAAAAATAAAATATGGGCGTGCTCCGCCATAGGAGGTCCCAACTTCTTTTTTGCTCATATAGCTTCATTCCAATATTATAAAAAGGTAATTTTTTTACCATTTATAGTATATATGTTATGCTAAAAAACTATTGTTGTTTGGGCTCTATATCCTATTGGAAACAAAGATTTACAAATACTTGTTCTATAGATCTTTCTTTAAAGTACTTTGCAGCTGATCTTTTAGTCTATATCATCTCTTATATAGAAAGTTAACCTTAGAGTACACCAGAACAGCTTTATTATCAGATATTTGATTAATAAACTAACTATTTTTTCATGTTCTCTATTTACGAATAGGATGTTTAATTAAGTTTAAATTACACAAAGCACAAACAACCCGTGAAATCTTGGTAATTTTATCAAAATCATCAACAGCTCCTCTATAAACACTACCAAGAACAGCATAAGTTTTGATGTGTTGATTGATATTTTCGATAGCGGCTCTTGCACTATTGATGTTATAGTTGAAGTCCTTTTCTTCAGTTGTTAATTCACTTCTATGAGGCTTCTTCTTTGGAGTGATGACAAATTCTTCTCCAATATAAGCTTTATCACCAATAATCTGTACAGAGTCGTTTACATGTTCTAATAGACCCGACTCTCGTAGAACTGTTATATCATGAACGCTTCCAAGATAACATTCGGAAACGTGCACTATTCGATAATTAAAGTCACAAGCTGTTTGCACTTTAAATGCATAACTCGTTGCACTTTTTGAATTAAAGTAAGCTTTACGTTGTTTTGAATCATCAGGTTGAGGAACAGCAATAGAAGTTGTGTCAACTATTAATTTATGATGTTCTTCAGGTCCATGAGCGGTATGTCTACTGTCCATATCGATTGGTAATGAAACCAGTTCTTCATATACACACGAATGTAAGATATCTACTACCTCGGTTAAAATTCGATGTATTTTAGATGGACTTGAGTATACTTCAGTGGCAATATATCGTTCCGAGTGATAATGTTTCAAGTACCATAATGTCACCATAAGTAAGTTCATAGGAGATAAAGATATTGTGTTGACATTGTCCGATTGCTGCTTGGTTCTGTGCAAGCAATAATTTATAAGTGACTGCTCACACATCGAATATAATTGATGTACTTGTTCAATATCATGTCCTGTATGTTGTACACAGGATTGATTCGTTCGACTCCATTCAGACCACGAACGCTGCTCTACAAAATACAAACAAACCAAAATGTATTAACAATCCTAATCTGTCCAACACTGCACGATAAAAAATATTCATAAAGAAAACTATAGTTAAATGCATTGCCTAAGTTTCACTCACCGTTATTCAAGATTTGAAGCTGTTGAATAGCAATATGCTTCTCTTCGACTCCTTGTGGTTTATCTTTAATTTCTGATGTACAATGAATACAGTTATCACGATGTCGAAAAAAGTTTTTATATAATCCAGATCTTCCGAACCAATGCATTTCCAGGTTAACATAGAATGACAATTAGCACAATATTTTTGATGATCAGTAATGATTGATCGACATTGAGAACAACCCCATTCTACTTGCGAAGATGACATAATGCAAAGTATTTGTGTCTGTATTTGACTGAAAATTTGTTCGACAAAAGAAAAAATATTCTTAATTCGAACACGAGTAATGTGATCAAGACAAGGATACAACCGACTGAATAGAATGTTATTATGCACAAAATATATACTAAGGAAAAGATAAATTTCAGAGAAGAAAGGAGAAAACAAAGAATGTCATCTCCTCACACGTCCCCACAAAATGATAAATAGGTATAAGAGATGATATAGATTAAGAGGGCAGCTGCAAAGTACTTTAAAGGAAGATCTATAGAGAAAGTATTTGTAAATCTCTGTTTTCAATAGGATATAGAGCCCAAACAACAATAGTTTTTTAGCATAACGTATATACTATAAATACTAAAAAAATTACCTTTTTATAATATTGGAATGAAGCTATATGAGCAAAAAAGAAGTTGGGGCCTCCTATGGCGGAGCACGCCCATATATCAAATGAAAGATTACGTTGGGATAAGCATCTTTTGTGATAGAATTTATTATTTTTCAATGAATAAATATAAAGTTTGAACAAAGTTAGCTACAAAGTCTATAAATAAAATTTCAAATATTGATGGAGTAAGGATATCTCAAAGAGACACAGACTGCCATTAAAGCGCCAATTTTGATTAGAAATCAGTAGTATTTCGAGTATTTGTCGTCCAATGTACTCGAAATAAAAAAATCCAACAGCCGAATCGTGTTCAGCATAAAAACAGAGTCGATCTATATATGTTTCAAAATTGTACGGCAACTTTTATTTTCGTCCGAAAATTTATTATGGATTCTTCCTCAGGGATATGCTAAAAAAATAGATTCGTCTAAAACATTATCTTGACTATAAAAAACCAAGTTCTAAACCTTCAATATTATTATTAGGTGCCTAAATAATAAAAACAAGATTTTGGATGAACTTAGTTTTTGACATATCTCTGAGGAGACGGACCTATGGTAAACTTTTGGACTAAAATAAAAGTTGCTATACAATTTTGAAACATACATAGATCAAGCCAGGTTTTTATACTGAACATGATTCTGGTGTTAGATTTTTTTTTAATTTCGAGTACCATTAGACGATAAATATTCGAAATACTACTGATTTCTAGTCAAAATACAAGTTTCAATCAATAATCTGAAAGAGTTCAAAAGAAAATTGTTTTTATCGATTAGCGACATCTATCATTATAAAACAAGAAAATACTTTGAAAAACGGAATTTTCTTTAATCTCAAATCATGTCCATTTTTTTTTCGAAGAAATACATCGAATATAAAACGAATTTTGTCATTGATTGTGAACAATTAAAAACGTTGCTAGACAATATGAAGTGTACCATATTAAAAATGGCAACGATACACAAAACAAAAATTAATCTTGTCTCTATCGACATTGTTAAGTAACTACATATAAAATGAAGAAAGATTCCCAAGAATCACGACCACGTTTTTTCACACCTAATGAAGTTTCTTCACATAATACAGCATCGGATATATGGGTTTCATTTCTTGGTCATGTCTATGATCTATCAAAACTTGTCGAAGAACATAGTGGTTCGTCGTAGGGTATCTAATCTATATGATAAAGATATTCCATCGGTAATTCATTTTTAGGTGATGTTCTTCTCAAACCAATTATTGATGTCGCTGGTTTAGATATATCACATTGGTTCGATCCTCGTACTCATGATGTAAGATTATGATTATGCTTAAACATAAATATGTTTTTTTTTTCTTAAATTTTCTTTAGTATCTCTTCAAAAAAAGAATATATATTAAAAGAATACGCTATACTTTTCTTTTCTTTTGTTTTTGCAAAAATATTTATTTTTGAATATAATTTCTTAAATCTAAATTTTGCGAACAATATATTTTTTAAAACATAGATTCGTCATTATATCGATCCAGTTACTCATTGTCTACTTCCATATACTCCTAATGGTCGTTTTATTCATATATCACCACCTTATCCATCAAGTGATTTTGCTAATGATTATGGTATTCCATGGTGGAAAGATGAAAAATATAAAATTGGTGTTCTATCAAAAAAAGTTCGTTTTATTCGTATTCTTAATGTTCTTACATTACAAGATCAAATTGTTGAAGTAAATTTTTAGTTCTTTTTTTTTAGTTAATATTCTATTAATATTTATGTAAACTAGGTCTGTTCAGAAGAAAATATGAATGAAATACTTGATCGTTATTTAAAATATAATCAACATGCTGCAAGTTATACATGGAAATATAATGGAGAAGTTTTAGATATGAATAAAACATTAGAAGAAAATGGAATTAAAGATGATGATACTGATTTCGATAGACTCAAAATGCGTGATGATAGTTATTTACAATCGGTTATGTTGTATTATAATGACGATTTGACAGAAGCTTGAAAGAGGGAAAATATAATAAACTATTCTTTTTTTCTTTTATTAATTATATATTTAATTTATATTGAAAAAAGAAAATCCGTTTTTTTTTAAATTTCAGACAATTATTGAACAATTGTAATCATTGAAAGTTTTTTCTTTTAAATCTATGAACTATGATAATAATGTTTCAAATAAAATAATAGAAATGAAACCTTATTGTAGAAATGTTTTAAAACATATCTGTGACTGAAAAGATGACGAATTAAAGTGATGGAAAAAAGTTTAGAAACAACGACTTTTTTGGTATTTTTTATAATTTTAAGCGCGCAGCTCCGATCCAAATAGTGATTTTAATAGCCAATGGAGTTTTCTATCCAATACACTTTATAGCAAGATTTCACAGATGAACAATGATGGAAAGGCTCCTAAAAAACCGAACATGATATTTTTCAGGTTCTAGAAGACTTTGCCAGAGCTATTTTGGAACGGTGCTATCTTAAAGAGCACAAAATTCTGAGCAAAATGAGGGGTTGCCGAGTTTTCTACGAACTTCTCGTAAAAAGTTACAAGCATCACAAAAACCATGAAAAAGGCGTTTTTAGTCGATTTTTAAAAAAATTTCGTTTTTTCATGATTTTTGTGATATTTGTAACTTTTTACGAGAAGTTCGTAGAAAACTCGGCAACTCCTCATTTTGCTCTGAATTTTGTGCTCTTTAAGATGGCACCGTTCCAAAACAGCTCTGGCAAAGTCTTCTAGAACCTGAAAAATATCATGTTCGATTTTTTAGGAGCCTTCACATCATTGTTCATCTTCGAAATCTTGCTATAAAGTGTATTGGATAGAAAACTCCATTGGCTATTAAAATCACTATTTGGATTGGAGTTGCGTGCTTAAAATTATGAAAAAAAACCAAAAAAATCGTTGTTTCTAAACTTTTTTCCACCACTTTAGATCTTTAACATATTTTATTCAATAGACAATATTTGACGGGTGTAATACCTTACTTAATCGTTAAGATGATATGATATTTCGTGATAATAGTTCACGAAAGAGTCCTATCAAGTTAATATCTGATGTAGAAACTATCAAGATGTATAGAATTAAGCTTTTAACAATAGTAATATTTTCATGCTATGTCACGTTTTCGATTCATTCAATCAAAATTTTATTTGAGCAAAAAAAAGCCTCCATGTCAGTGTATATATGAAAATTATAAGACAATTTTATTGATTCACTTCAAAAATGTGTTGGAGATTACTTTTGAATAGTACTGAAAAATCTTTGTAGTATAAATCATATTATAGAATGTCACGTGATAGATATCCGAACGGAATAAAGCATAGATTATTTTCTTATTGGGTAGAATGCACATACTTTCGAAAAAAAAAAACAAAACTTCCTTAATACATCTGTTTGTGTTGTAAATAACCATCATTCGATATTTTCTAGTATGCCATCTTTTTTGATAAATTGTCTAAGTTCCCTCAAAGCTTTTGTTCATTCAACTTGTGTCGTATACTTTTAATCTCTTCTCTACCCGTTATTTATGTTCTTAATGGTATAAGGCTTTAACGAATATAATTCTTTTCGCTTCATTTCTTACTATAGTATCCATCAATAAGGAGGTTTTTTTTCTTTACAGTTTGATATCGAGTGCTAATTTTCTCATACTTTTGATACTAAAGATATATGTTATTCTCTTTGTTAACAATATATTAATCATTCATGCACTTATTGGTCACTTCGATGTTTTTTATATTTAATGTTATAACATAAACAATAAACATATATGATAGAAAAACAAAGAAAAAGTTTTTAAAAAAACCTATGATGTGCACAAAAGTTCTTCTTTTTAAGTTGATAAAATCATTTTCACATTCATACAATGATTTTAAATATCTTTTTTCAATGTTTTTGCTTGATTTGATGTATGTAGTTGATGTGATTCCGATCCACTACCACCTACACCTATACCACCTGATGTCATACCTTCTTGTGCACTTTGGCCAGCTTGTTTCTATTTTGTATCACCATGATCTGCTTCAAATCCAGTATATATTTTACCAGATTGTTGTTCACTTTGATTCGATGATGATATTGTAGAGTTTTAGTAGACGTATAACTTCGAAATGAATAGTGATGAATTCGTACTCTATACAATAAGAGGTTATCGAGGAAAACAATGAATGAAGAGAGAAGATAGAAGAATAGGGTTATAACGAGTGCAATTTTTCTGTTCTATACCATAGAGGATAAAAATGACATCGGAGTTAACCAAGAGAACAGTATAAGACTGAAGAAACAAAGCAGTTATGTGACTTTAGCAATCGCAAAGAATGGTGTTGCAGTGATCCAGAGAAAGAAAATATATTCAGTTGTCATGTATCCTATACGTATATACATATCTGTATGATAGTAAATTACAAAACGCAATGAAATAAAAACAAAGTAATTTAAACAAGAGATAGATCATTTACTTATTGTTTTTCGGAATTGGATACATTACATTGAGAGGAACTTTTGTATAACAATATCTACATATTTTTTTTAGTGGTTTTATAATTAAAACAATTTTCATAAAACATTTTAGCTTCTAGAAAAAGAAATAAAATTCAACCATTTCATAATTAATTGTAGATAATAACAAAAATCAATCAATAAAATATGCAAAAATATCGCATCTATACAAAGTCCTGAAGTTGAGTAATATCTGCATACTATTTTTTCTTGATTTCGTATTTTCAAAAGTTAAGTTTGATGTTTTTAACCCTTTAGTTATGAATCACGTATATATACGTTTTGAATTTTTTCACATATTATCATCATTATAATATCATTTAGATTCTATTGAAAGGACTCCTCTCTTTTTCTCTTATCATGGCAACATTATTGCGTGATCATCCTGCATTGCTATATGTTTATGTGCTCTCTATTACATTCTGGCATGTTTGTTTCTTACATTCTACCTCGCTCTAGTAAATTCTGGTATATTTTCTTTTTTTTTTTGAAGGTATCAACACTGAGTGCATCCATACTATTCAAAGTGAAGCATAAGAAAACTATTCAATTTGGGGAATTTCGAAGGGAATTGATTCGATAATTGATTGAAAGACACCCTCGCCCTCAACATGCAATTAGTCGTCTGATTATCTGGGATAACGCTGTATGTCTTATTGCACGTCATTTTACGTCTCTAGTTCCAGAAATACCAACAGGAAAAAGTGCACCAAGAGCTTGTATAGTCTGTAATCATACAAGCAGACGCGAGAAAAAGTGTAGAGGTACACGTTATCAGTGTGATATTTGTAATGTTGGACTTTGTGTAATAGGTTGTTTTGAAGATTATCGTACTGTAAAATACTTCCATATACTAATAAAGGTTGTTGGAGACTCTTTTAGAACGAAAAGTAAAAGATTCATCTAAAAAAAAACTCGTAACCAAAGGGTTAAATTCTATATAATAAAAATTTGCTTTCCTCTGACTAAATGGAATTACTTAGTAACATGCGTCATATATCAAATTTTATGATTCATAATGGTGATTGAGAAAGTAGTATCATATATACCCAGGTCAAACAATCAGACAGTAAGATCTTACAAGCTCATACCTCTGATCTTGTACGATCTTGTAAGATCAGATGGAAACTGTACAAAAAATCGCCGTCTAAGAATTCTGTTGATCCGTCGTATTATAAGATTCTTGAAAGACCCTGCTACCTTGTAGGATCTTTTGCGAATCTAATATTATGATCTGATGCAAGATTTCTTAGACGACAATTTTTTGTCAGATTTTTGTAAGATTTCGTTCAGATTATAAGATCGTACATACAGATGACAAAATCTTACGTCAGATTTTTCGATCTGGGATTTTTACATTGATAGAAAGAATTAAAAATGAATAATTTTTTTGTAGACTTTTTTATATAGAGATTAAATTCTCTATGTTAAAAAATTTGCTTTCCTCTAACTAAATGAAATTACTCAATACCATGCGTCATATATGAAATATCATGATTCATAAACGTGATTGTGAAAGTAGTATCATATATATACATATATTCATTTAGAGACAAGAATAAAAAAAACTTTACGTATTATTTTATTCATGAAAAATGTCGAGTATGTTTCCTGTCTCAACACCTTCTACCAGTGAATGGTTATGTTCGAATGGTATTCTCTCATGGAAATTTCCACCATCTATTGGTTCATATACATTAATTGGTCGTTCAAGAGCAGCTGATGCTACTAGTTTATTCATTCCTGAATTGGATATGTTACTTGATTGTGGTTGTTTAGTGACAGTTACTCGACCTCATTATATATTTATAACACATTCACATTCAGATCACTGTCTTGATATTACTCGATTATTGAGTAGACTTCGACCACCACAAATTTATCTTCCTATATCAGCAGTTCAACCAATGAAAGATTATATTGAGAAATGTCAAATTCTTCGAGGAGCTGGTAGAATTGATCCAGATCCCAAACAATGGACACCTAATTGTGAATTAATAGGTGTTAAGCATGATGATTTATTACCATTTCGAAAAACGATGAAAATTCGTACATTTGATATGGATCATTCAGTACCTTGTTGTGGTTATGGATTTTATGAACGTCGACAAAAGTTAAAAAAAGAATATGAACATTTAACGAGTAAAGATATTGCCAATATGCGACGTGTTAATAAAGATTTAGAACTTTGTGAAGAACGATTATTTCCATTATTTGCTTTTATGGGTGATACAACAGCAATAATCTTTGATAAATATCAAGTAGAACTTTTTCAATTTCCATTGATTATTATTGAATGTTCATTTATTGATAATGAACAACATGCAGAACGAGCTTCTGATGTTAAACATGTTATTTGGGTAAGAAAATGAAAAAGAAAATTAATTTAAAATAATAATCTTTTTCAAAAATTATAGGATGATCTTCAACCTTACGTCTTACAACATCCGGAAATTATCTTTGTGCTAATTCATTTTTCACAACAATACAAAAGTGAAAAAATAAGAGAATTTTTCCAAAAGTTAAATTTACCCAATGTTGTGCCGTTTATTTAAGAAAAAAAAAAGATTTATGTTTAAAGAATAGTCTTTATATTGACAGCTATGACAATGTTGAATAATAGGATGCTGAAATACAAGTGGAACATTTTAAGAAAATTCAAAGAATTTGTAAAAGATATACAAAGTGATGTATCTTTATGCTTATTGAATATTAATATTATCAACTCAATTATTTAAAGCATTAATCTATTTTTAACTTGTTGTCTAATAATCATATGTAACGAGAAATTTTAAAAAAAATTTGCGATACATATTAAATTCATATTTATTATCAGAAAGATACGAACATTTTCCTTTAAAATGAAGAGAGTTTAGAAGTATCATGGTTAAAAACTTTCGATGAACTCGATTTAAAAAGCTATTTTTTTCTCTCTCTCTCATTGCCTTGTTTATAAATCAAACAGATATAGATATCAGCATCAATAAAAAAAATACACATTATAATTTTCACTAATTTTACTTTTTAATCTGATGATTGTGATAATATCGTATTGAGTAATCATATGCTTTCATTAGAAAAGATTTTCAAATGACTCTATTGATTATATTTATTCATTTATTTTTACACAAATTCATTCTTTGACAAACACACGATGAGATTAAATGCATATCAAACAAGCAGAATGAAGAAACAAAAAATAATTTTCACAAGTTTTATATACTTTTATTAAATACTCTAGAATGTTTTATTATAAATGTTTTTTTTTTCGTTTAATATTTATTTCCAATTATATTCGATTTAATTGATTAAAGAGACAGCTGAGCAAGAACTTTCTAATGATAAACTCAAACTTCGAATTTCGACGTTTTCATTTCCTTTCATCTTTTTTTCTTGCCAAAATGACACAGAAGCTATGGAATTTATCTCTACACATTATTCTGCAAAAGACACAATCACCATTTGAAGAGCTTAGAGAAAAACGAAAACTTGTTGTTTGATTGATCTGGTGTTTTGCGCACTCTCATTGGAAACTTGATTTGAACATGTTCAACACCAGATTTGCTCATTGAAAGACCACGTTCATTCTCAATTCGTTTCATAAAATGGTTCAATGTTTCACCATTCGATTCTACTTGGAGTGGTTCAGAGTTTGGTTGATTGGTCATCGTAACGAATGCTCCACCCGGTAATAGTTTGCGATCACTGCCCTTCTCTGTATATTGATCATTATCACTTGTATCTCGCATTGTAACTTGATCACTATTCAATTTAGTTTTCGATGGATCATGTTCGTCTCCAACATGATTCATAAAACTATTTAAAGCTTGTTCACCATATTGAACTTGGAGTGATACAGAATTTGACAGATTATTGATGCGAATAGCATCTTTATCAGATATAAGCACAAAATCATCGTTGGGCTTCAATAATGTATCTATCTGAGTCTTGGTACATACTTCTTGCCAGATAGTGAGTCGTGCTTGATGCGGTATGCGAGGGTAGACAACGCGATGAATACCAGACTTAAATCGATTTCCAGTCATAATACTCGCTGCTTCACCTAACCAAATCACACCAATAGAACGCTGTCCATCTTCACAATTATTTGGTCCATCGACCCATTGATCTTGCCTGAGATCTTTCAATTGAAGACCATTACATGTAGATAGAATACTCAATGAAAAAAGACCAGGATCAAAATGTGGAACACAATTCATTTCATCAGTATTAAAGCCGATTTTGGGCTGTTGTGCAGGCCCTGTTCGTTCATTGAAATAATTCACGATATCAAGCATGCCTAACGATGACAATGGCACTTTGTCTTTATGCGGATTTTGCGCAAGGACAGGCATATTGAAAATCACAGATTTGAGAATATTGATCAGGTTGTATAATAGCGTTGCTAGATCTTGTAATACTTGATCTACGTCGCTTGTCAAAGGATAATGGTATTTTGCGAGACCTTGCTCATTTGTTAACACTTTAATGCCTTCTTTATGGTGCACACGTGAATAACCAAAGGCATTGGATGATTGATATTGTAATTTTTCCTCTGGCTGTTGACCAAAGAAAGCTGACAAGGTTGTTTTAATGTCATTGAGTTTCTCGACTAGCTGGTCGTTTTGATTTGGCAATCGAATGAAACACCAACCAGTGGATTCGAGTTCATTTTGCAATCGATGAATTTCGCTTGAATCACCAATAAAGAGTTTGTCAAAATCAACAAGAACATGGCCGTTAAAACTGTACTCGGTCGTCATGAAAGTGGTAAAGAAAAGTGTCGATGTGGCCATGCATAAGAAAAATGTGTTGTTTCTTATACCGTCAGAATCATGCGTCAGCTATGTTATTGCTCAATCTATAGAAACGATGAGTCATACGTATGACTTGACTATTGCATTTTGGTTATGTGACTACATTTGATATTTCAATTCTTTTTTCTTTTCTTATCAAATTAGATTTATACAGTTAATATTACAATACGAGATGATCTTTTTGATAAGACAATCATAACAACTACACAATAATGGATATATCTTTAGATATTACTGTAAATATCTCAGTTGTCCGACAAGATTTGGACTGTACTTGTCATATCATCTAACTATGTACTCATCTTTTTGCGTACAAGAACAACCATCTGCTGTGAGAACATCGATGTGAGATGGCCAGCTGTAATGGAAAAATATATCACCGCAAGGGATGTACATATCATTGGCCGCTTTAAATATTGCAACCCTATAAGTCATCTGAAAAAGTTAGCAAATAAGGAGACATCTTGCAAACTGAAATATCATCCTGCTATTCTCACATATCTATTTTCAATCTTTTCAATACAATGCGATCACATTTGTACCAACGCTGCTTTCATTGATGGGAGCGGATTTGTCGTGGATGACGATCATCCTTTTAAAAAGATGATCAGATACTCTATGATGGAATATAGGTGCATTACTACAAGAATACTAATATGTGATGAATAGGAGTTACAAAGAGTTGACCATTACGATTATTCAATACGTAGAAATGGAATGAGACGATCTAGAAGAAACAACTCTTCGAATAGATCATTGTTTATATAAAGAAAAATTAATGAAAATAGGAATATTCTAAATCATCTTTTCAGCATGACTATTCGTCAACATGTTCTATTTGCCACTCGAGATGTCATCACATTAAACCGTATTTTTTTTACATATTAAACAAAATGCTCGACCATTTCATTTTTGGGATCTTTTCCACAGATTTATTTTGTGTTATAGATAACAATGATATCATAGATTACTAAAGAATGCAAGATATACGAAAGTAAAGGCTACCTATCAATAAAAGCAACAAGCATTCAAAGATGATGTTGATGCACGTACCATCTGATACTTGCTTTTTGTTGCTGTCGTTGTGCAGATACGCTTGTGTTCTTTATATTTTTTTATCTGTTATTTTGTGGCAACAAATCGTAGTCTTGTCAAAGTAAAATATAAATGAGTTACGTCTTGTTTTAGCAACTAGATGTGCATAGGATGTCTGATAATTTTAAACATACATTCAGAAACTTACACTTTTTGTTGAAATCGATTAAACATTTTCCGATGAAGTAGTTTGGATGAGACAGACATTTAACAAACATGTCCGTTCGACGAAATGCTTTTCTCTACCAAGTGTTTTTACACTACAATTTTTCGATTATTTCACTTTCGACAAAACTAATTAGTTCGACCAAAAACACACTCAATCATTTGTTAACGATGATATATTATGCAGTCGAAAGGAGCAGACCGTAGCGATTTATCACATTTTACCTTATTTTTACTTCTTCCGTATCAAACCATATAAGTAGCTTCGTCAAAGAAAAGAAACATGTTCTTATATTTGAAATGAGACATACATCACACGAATACTCATGAGAATTACTACAAAAAGTATCAATATGACATCGTATTGACAGCATATTGGTGATGTTGAGTACTTAGTATTCATAAAATATTCCCTCTACTGAAAGGAGGGTCATACACCGAGCAAGGTTCGTATGTTCGTAACTCCGTAACTGCGTTCATTCGTTCGCACAGAACGAAAAAATGTTTTTTTAACCTTCAGCAGAGTTCCTTGTGAAAATGTAGAGAACAATTCACTGCCCGTGTCAACAAGAGTTTTCCGAGATCGGCTATCAACCAATGGGATTGTGCGCAGAGCAAATCCAGCCAATCAGACGTTTTTTCGCTATGAGCTCTTGGCCAAAGGGATTTCGCGGAGGCAAAATCGAGCCAACTAGAGGTTTTTCGATATGGGTTTTTAGCCAATAGGATTTTGCGAAGCCAAAACTGAACCAATTAGAGGTTTTCAGATATGGGCTCTTAGCCAATGAGATTTGGCGAAGCCAAAATCCAGCCAATGAGAGGTTTTCCCATATGAAGTCTTAGCCAATGGGATTTCGTGAAGCCGAAATCCAGCCAATGAGAGGTTTTCCGATATGAGCTCTTAGCCAATGGGATTTGCCGAAGCCGAAATCGAGCCAATCAGAAGTTTTTCCTTATAGGCTCTTGGCCAATGGGATTTCACGAAGCCGAAATCAAGCCAATCAGTGGTTTTCCGCTATGGGCTCTTAGCCAATGGGATTTTGTGAAGCAAAAATCGAACCAATCAGAGATTTTCCGATATGGGCTCTTAGCCAATGGAATTTCGTGGAGACGAAATCGAACCAATCAGAGATTTTTTCGTATGGGCTCTTAGCCAATGGGATTTGGCGAAGCCGGAATCGAACCTATCAGAGGTTCTTCGATATAGGCTCTAAGCCAATGGGATTTCGCGAAGCCGGAATCGAGGCATTAGAGGTTTTGCGGTATGGGCGATTAAGCAAGGGGATGTCGTGCTGCAGAACTCAAGCCAATCAAGGGTTTTCCGATATGGGCGCTCACTCAACGGGGTTTGGCGAAGCTAAATGCCAGCCAACGAGGGACGGTTTAATATAGGTGATTAGCCAATGAGATTTCGCGCAGGGGAAGCTGAGCCAATCACGTGTTTGTGGGTATGGCCTATCGGTGAATGAGATTCGGCGCAACCGAAGTTCAGCCAATTATAGTTTTTCGATATGGACCAACAGTCGATATGATTTAGCGGCGCCGAAATCGGCCCAATCCGAGGATTTTCGAGATGGGATCTTAGCCAATGGGATTTCGCGGAACTGAAATAGAGCCCATCAGTGGTTTGTTTTCATATGGCCCATCAAAGAAGTATATTGCGAGGCAAGGAAATTGGCGGAATCTGGCATTTTTCGGAGCGGATTGTTGGCGAAGGAAATTTCACGGAGTGGTACTCGAGCCAATCTTGTGTTTTGAAGCTATGGTGTGAGAAAATGAGATTTTGAAGATATCGATGAACTTATCGTGCGTTTTTGGATTTGGATTTGTAGAAAATGAGTTTTCAAGAGCAACTAGTGATAAAAAATCGCAGTTGCTAAAGAAGATGATAAGTTGACGCTTCCACTTTATTAATACTTTTATTAGGGATTACAAAAAATTTTAAAGTAAGACTCTATCATTTGTCTAAGTTCAATGTGAAGTGAGAAGGAAAGAGCTCGATTCAAGAATATAATGTGCCACAGATCAGAGAAGGCTTTGTACAGGTCAGCATTGTGGCTCTTTTTTTATCATTCTTATATACGATAGTCTTCACAGATTTCTTTCATACGAAAGTTTTAGAAAAGTCGAAATGTTTTTCCTAATATAATTTGATGTGTCCCATCCAAAAATAGTATAGAAGTTTTTTAAATAGTCCTTACTCAGTATGTATACCAAGACAATAGTTATTGTATTCTCGTGCTCAAACACCCCAACCTCTATAGCATCATATCCTTTCAGTAGAAGGTGGGTGACGTTTGCGTCGCGTTAATATGTGAGGATTGCAATGTTAGCATCACAGGATGACATGGCTAATGTAACTACTATTATATAATTGATTTGAAGAAACATTAACGAAATGACAGGTGAGCATTAAATAAAATATCCAAGTCAATGATTCTGGAGAACGGATATTACAGAAACCGGTGGGAAAATGCAGAAAAATCGCGGAAACTGGAAGCAGTATTGCAATCGAAAATTTTTGAGTTTTTCTACGATGATTTTCACTTAGCTTCTGTTGAGCAGCATAGAAAATTGGTCCGAATTCGCCAGAAAAAAGTCCAAACTTTTTGATGAAAATACTGCTTTCTTGTTCCAGCGATATCCCGTGTTTTCTTGCCAGCATCTACTCATGCATCTTGAGCCTGACAGATGGATGAAAGTTGAAACTTCATGGCTGGTACTATTCTTTTTTCCTCTATCATGCCATTCTCCTTCCAGTAGAGGGCTTAGCGACGGTTGCGTCGCGTTACTTGTTATTAAAATTTTTCCCTCTACTGAAAGGAGGGTCATACACCGAGCAAGGTTCGTATGTTCGTGACTCCGTTCATTCGTTCGTTCGTTCGTTCGCACAGAACGAAAAAATGTTTTTTTGACCTCTCACATCATCGATCTTACAACAAATCTTAACCACTACCTCTAGATCAGTACAGAGTCTCTACCCTCTCCTCTCACCAACAAATCAGATGTCTGCATTTCAACCAACCAGATTTTATGTGACAGATTTTCAGCCAATCATAGATTTTCACGGTCTCCATATACGCGAATGAGATTTCGAGAGTGGCCATTTGGACTAATCATAGGTTTTCACAGTTTGGCTATGCACCGATGAGATTTCGAGAGTGGTTATTTGGACCAATCATAGGCCTTCACAGTTTGGCTATGCACCAATGAGATTTCGA